TAGGGATAGCGTGCATTCGGGGTCGAAATATTAGGTATACAGTGTTATAGGTTTAAAGTTATTAGGGATAGCGTGCATTCGGGCTACAAATATTAGGAATAATGTTCTTTAGAGATATAGTGATTCGGGGTTTCAATTATTGGTACTAAGTATAACAGTCATCAGAGTTTACTCAAATATATCAAAATATTACAATAATCCTCATTCGGTACAATTAATATCATAGAGGTGCAACATTTTTTTTATAAAAGATTTGAGTAGGTACGTTTGATTTACCACAAACGCACCTGATGTTAAACAACGATGCTGAACTTAGCTGGAGCATATAAACTCAAATAATTCTATTTACTCTTGCCTTGAAGGTCCCTATATTATATGTATCGGGTATATAGACGCAGGAAGGGAGTTCCATTCCCTAGCGGTTCGCATGATAAAGGACGCGAATCGTGAGGCACGTAGGGGAGGTATGCCAACCACGTACGGATTAAGACCGTGTCCATGTCTCGTCACGCGATAGTAAAAAGGTGCAAGCGGAATTAATTCGAATAGTTCTTGTGCATGCTCCCTGAAATGTAACCTGTAGAAAACACTTAGACACGCAACCAGGCGGTGATGTTCGAGGGTTTGTAGGCGTCTGGTTGTGAGTATTTCATTTCTTATTTAGCACGTCTGTCAATAGCTTGTAAGATTTCAAGCTGGTAACGGGAAGATCCATCCCATACGTGGAAAGCAGTACTCGATGCACGAGTGAACTTGTGCTGAATAAAGATTCAGCAATTAAAATATTTGCGGAACTTGGTGAGGAGTCGCAATCCTATCTACCATCTATTTATTCTTAAAAAATATGTTAATCTAGGCTGAAGCATACATTTATATGCATAGTCATAACGGTTTTAGGCATGTTTTTTTATTTACTTAATAATGGGCCTGTTTTTAACTTTTTTTAATTCTTAGAATTGTATTGAATTGCAATGAGCGTTACATTGGAGCTTGATTGCGTACTGGTTGGCGCGTTTGCTCTGCAATTAGCAATGGCCTGTCATCTATATGGCTACTAAACCAAAAATGTATTATATCAAGCACCTTCGTTCTTTGATATGCACGTTATTATGTTATTAAAATGTTAAGCTGCCAGCCTCTGTAGACGTCACTTTCCAATATCTATATACCTAGCTACTTCACATTATGCCCGCGAAGTTGTGGTTTAAAAGCTCGTTCCCCCTTTGTGTTTTATTCACAGTCAGTCAGAGTTGGTGCCCCTCCGTGGGGAACATAAATGAGGCGGTAAACCCAAAAGTGGCGTAACCCTCAATTATTTATTCATATTCTGATTCATCTATGACTATGATCATCTACTAGTATTATAAATGTGAACGTCGACTAAAGAAAAAATAAGTGTCCATTATTTTTGTTAATCTAACTGACGGACTTAATAGATTTTCGTTTACTTTACCCCGTCATCATCCCTATTATTTTTTCTTTATTCTGCTACTTGTGCGAAATACTTAATTTAAAATTGGGGTTGTACACAAAGCTAGACACTAATTTCATACTTTCATTACCTACGCGTTTTAACCCTCAAGAGGATGAATTTAAAAAAATATTATTAGCCTATTTTTTTATTCATCCTCTTTCGTTTTACTTTCATTGATAACCATGAACTCACCTACTAATTTCACATTTGTAACTTTAAATTGACAAGTTTTGTACTGACTTTCCTCTCAGCGAAACGAACCATTGTGCAGAATTTCAGACTTCAAGACCCAGCAGATTCGGTTTTGCGTTATCAATCATCTTGTCAATCAAACGTTAGTCAGGTCTTCTTTATTCATCTATTAGGTATATTTATAAACCGTGAATTATGAGTTGCCTGAGAACCTATGCTAGCTAATTTAGACAATGAGGTTACAATTCCGCAAAAAAACTCAACTCAGTAATTGTGCAATTATGAAATCTTAACTATTTTATTTGTCATAAATTGATTCAAATAAATCTACTTTTAGGATCTACGTACTTTAAACAAATAAAAGTTCCAGAATGTTATTTAAAAATTTGCGGCATTATTTATCTATTTATTTAAACTTTATTGCCAAACATGAGCAAACGACGGCGGACTTAATGCCATGGGAATTCTCTACCAGTCAATCAGTATGATTGTTGGAGACAAATAGTATGGCGATAGGGGAAAGTTGCTAAAAATGAAATAAAAGGAACATCAACCACATATATAAAATACATAAATAACATACATAAACATACACACACACACAGAGACATATATATATATATATATATATATATATGTATATATATACATATATATGCATAACATACATAAAATACAATAAATATAATATATTATTATTATTATAGGGTATTTTATAAACAATATAAATCAATATTTTTGTATGGGGGTGTAGAATGTTTACTGTTTAAAACTCGCTTCGCTCTTTTATAGTTCGCACTTGTTTTATAAACTCAATTTTGAGTTTCTTAGATAACTCAAAATTCACGGTGTATATATACATCACTAGCGGCCGCCCGCGACTTCATTCGCGTTAGTTAGTTAGTTTTGTTTTTGAGAATCCCACAGGAACCTGACATTTATCCGGAATAAAAAGTACCTATCCTTTCTCTCAATCCAGATAATAAACTATATGCGTGTTTATCTTATGTCTACGGTTCTTGCGTACTGCGACAAAGTTAGAATAATATAAGATATATCATTTTTCATTCTGAGTCTGTCAAAACAGCGGAATATCACGAATTGGAAATAAGAAGTTACTTCTCAGTTTAGTGTATGTGAAAAATATATTTTAAAGAATAACCTGAATTGTATTTTTTATATCCTACGTTCACGATGGGATTGACACAAAAAGTATACCCACCGAGGGCTCCGTACAAATTGTAGGTACCTACCTACCTACATATTATAATTATCAAATTTAATAAGATTGTGTAATACCAGTGAAATTGTGGTTATACATACTAGCAATTCATACATATGAGTAATTAAACACATGTTTATTTCTTTAACATAACCATTAACTTGTCTTTTAAAATTTTTGGTTACACCTTTTTAGCATAGCCTATAAGTACCTGTACAATTTGCATATAAAAGAGAGAAAAGGTATTAATTCTAATTCTTCGTCATAAATCAAAAACTATACATCATAATAATAAATTAAATTTCTGTATCAGCTTGTTCGAGTAAGGCCCTTACATACAATACCCCACATGACTCGGCTAACTCACTTTAAATTAGTACCCCTGTTCCTTGCAAAAATACGACTACGGTTTTTTTTGTTATAAAAAATATGCGGCTTTCAGAATTTAAATATAGGTTTGTACTAGCAAATTTGGTCACCAATACTATCATGACCGCGCATACTGTTGCTTAACCTCGATTATTATAACAAATAGTTTTCATATTCTTTTTCTGTTATTTGCGATATGATACGATATTAGGTAGTAGTAACAACGCATTTCTAGTTTAAACCCTATGTGGTTTTTTGTGAATGTTGTAATTAATGTTTGTGTTATATGTTTAAATGGTAAATAAAAAAAAATAAAAAAAAGTTGCTAAATTTCAGAGTCCTAGGTGAACGGAAAGTACCTTATCAATTTTGATTCCCTTAGAGATTGTCGAAATGTAATTTTTTTTGCAACATAAACGGCCGTACCTTTTTTATATATAAACTTAGTAGTTTGATTATTCACCATTCGAGTGGTCGTAGACCTGAGTATATGGTTTTAAAGGGTCTTCATCTTGACAGACAGACGGTCCATCATCGAAGTCGAGTTTGTGCATATTGCGTGGAAATACTGAAGTTGTTACAACTGTTAGTTTCTAGAGTTTAATATAAACTTAGAAGTTTGATTATTCACAGCTTCAAGGGGCAGTAGACCTGAGTATATGGTTTTAAAGGGTCTTGACAGACAGACGGTCCATCATCGCAGTGGAATTCGTGCATATTGCGTGGAAATACTGAAGTTTACAACTGTTGATAATCTTCTCTTCCAATCACAATAAAGTTATGGAATGAGCTCCCATCCGCGGTGTTCCGTCATTGCCATAGCATGGTCCTCTTCAAACGAGGCCAAAAAGAAGCGTTCCACGAAAGGCAGTGGCATGCCCTTGTCACTGGTATTGCTGATGTCCATGGGTGACGGTGACCATTTAACATCAGGTTAAGTGGTCATCAGACAGACGTCTGCTCGTCTGTCTTCGAAGGCAATGAAAAAATAAAAATGTTTGTCTCATATTTTTTGTTAAATACACAAAGTTTCAATTTAAAATGGCGATTTGAATTGGCTGAAAATCACGTTAACAGATTCCGCTACATACGTCGCTATATACAAATACACAAGAGTAACAAATAAAAAATAAAACAAAAACATAACCTTAAGATGAAAACTCGGATAATTTAATTAAGAAGTGTAATCACAAATAATTTAGCGGTGATGAATTGATCGGATGTAAACATAAGTTAAACTTTTATGGATCACAATGATTTCACTTAATAATAGATAAAATACTTTATGGGTTATCAAGAGTAATAGAACTTTACTCCTGTTTTTTTAATAAAACTGTGTGAAATAATCTTTTTCACTCGTTATTTTCATCACTTCACTAAAATAATTTAACAATACTAATTTATAACTTACCATAGCCTATAGGATGACATAATTCATAAATCAACAAGTAGAGTTTGGATCACTATCATAAACATATTTTAGTACAGAAACCTAACTCTGTTTAGGAAACAAAACAATACCGCATTACTACAAATCGATATCACTACCTACCAGTGTGTCCAATTAGTTTATTACAGTTCATAAGGCACGGAAAGGCAACTTATGTACTTCATAAGAAAAGGACCATGTTCTGCCATTCACGTTGAGGTTTTCCCACAAGAATTTTTTTCAACCGATATATTAATACCAATAAATACACTTGAAGTTTAAACCTCCGGTGTTATGGATGTTAAGATACTCACATGTCACCTTTCCATGCCGGCACTGGCTCTGGGATCACACACAGAGCCAGCAAAAGGCAAAGTATCAGACATCGCATTTCGATGACTCACGCGCAGCTGTCAAATGGCGGCATACGCCGCAGGATTAATACACTTTAAGGCACATCGTTACCGTATTTGTTACGTTTAAGGCTAACAGATCACTGTATATAATAATTTCTATAGTCAGGAAAGAAGGCCACTACTAGAAGCGAATCGTGTGTTACATTTGTATCTATGTTAATAAAATTTTGTTTGGAAGTTAACGTATAAGTATTTGTAAAGTTCACAACGCGACGTTAAGCGCGCGGGGCGCGTGTGTCCGCAGCAGCCCACGTGCAGCGTCTATTCTGGGCGGGCGGCGATGGCGGCGGCGGCGGCGGGCGGCATCGAGCGCCCGCGAACTAGGTCGGCCACAGAGCTTCTGCCGCTCGCAGCTCCGCTCGTTTCATTACACGCAGTCGCCGAGCTTCACAAAACTCCCGCTGCGTGGCGCGACCGACGCGTTACAACCACGATAATTCCCCCTGAACGTTTATCTAACTAATGGCACTTTTCAGTTCGCTCCGATACAAGTACCGACGATGAGTCACGAGCAATTTGCCTGCTATTGTAGCGAACTTTCCAAACTCGATAGTATTGTTTGCTTTAACTTATTTATTGAATATCGTTGATGTATCATATCAAAAACTTTAAGTATGTTTAGTTTTGAACTAATAATAACAGAATTCGTGTTAGATTAACATACATATTTTCTAAAACCTGTTATCTTAGTAAGGGCAATCAAATAAACGTTGATAAATCCGAACTAAAATAATAAACTCTTGGTCAATTTATACCGATTTCATTTATTTTTCCGAGCTTTATAAATTATCCTTTGTTAGAAATTATCTAAGCACGTAACCGACCGACATGCACAATCTCGTCAGGTTATTATAGTCACCTTTTATCCAGTTTAATTGAAGCAAACTCACGGGCCACCTGACAACAAGCGGCCACCGTAGGCTATGGACAATTAAAACCAGACCTTTCATACGCTATTGTTAACATTTATCTATACCAAGGAACATCAAAGCTTTGAATACTTATCAAGAAATATGAAAGTGATATTTTCTCAGGTAATGGTTGGAGCTCTAATTCAAGCAGAATAATCTGTTTTAAATAACATAGTCCAGGATGCCGACATTTTTACAGAACGATTAAATCATTTAACTGAAACTGCTTACCTTTCTGCTTTTATAATATGTTGTGTAAAATAGATTTTGATTATACTTATATTTATTTATTTATTATTAGTATCTTTTTTTGTTTTATAATTACAATATTTACTTTTGTTTCTTGTATCTTAAGGGCCATTTACATGATGCAAGTTTCTTGCCTGTTGCATATAATTAAATCGAAGCAATAAATGACTTGCATGGCACACAGCACATAACATTCTTGATCTGTTATGCAAGTTTTGTTTCAATACTTTTCTTGGTGTTAACAGCACATACAATAATTTCACTTCTATGCAAAAACGTTCAATACTTGAATGAAAAATTCGCAAACGCAAATACGTGCAATTCTTGAAGCAACTCTCCAATGAATGGTACATGCACATACAAGCCTGTGCTTAGAGATATCAAAACTTGAAAGCAATAATCTCCTAAACATAATTGTATTGGTGTAAATTTGCAATTTTTACAAAAAGCCATTTGCAATTCTTTCTTATTAAAACTGGCATTCAATAATTGTATGCAACCTTTTTACTATGCCGCGTGTGAACAGTTACTTACAATTCTTGAAGGTCAATTATTGCGCCTCATTTATTGTATTCAATAATTGCTCTTGTATGTACAAGAAAATTGCATCGTGTAAATGAGTCTTTAGATTGAACATACTAACGTGTTGGCATTATTAGCTGTAAGATTGGAATTTGTATTTAAATAAATATATAAAAAAAACCCTGCCTTTTCATGCAATATAAATAAATACATACGACAAACGACTGAAAAGATTTGAATGAATATTGTCATAGTAATATTTGATAAATCTAAAGAAAAAAAAACTTATAAAATTTTCATTAGATTTATAAATGTAGCAGTTTAATGCTTAAACTAACAATGTAAGTATAATACATAATATATTAAAGTGGCTCACCCGGCGAACATCGTACCGCCATATTTTTTTCATATACATTTACGAAAAGAGTGGTTTAACTATTTATGACCGCTGTCTATGTTTTGACAATATATTGAAGATCGCTCGCAGTTTTCTGTCTCATTCAATAAATCACTTTTCATAAGAGGTTTAAAAACGAACTGGTTCTGTTTTTTTCTTAATACAAACCGTGTTCTGACAATAATGAACACAATAAAAAAAGAATTATCCAATTTAGTACAATCTTTCGAAAGTTATGTGCGTGCATACATGGATATATAATTTTGCTCCGGAAAAATCATAAGTTGAAAATTAAAAATTAAAAAGTTTTTTATTTTCCAAAGAATTATTTTAAATTACAAATTGAGACAACACCGAAAGTTCATAAACGTAATAAATTCTCGTGTCAATATTGGTTCCTAATGAGATTCACAAGAAATCTGCAGGACTAACCTTATTTATTTCATAGAAAGCTGATTTTTTTGTCCGCAGTTAAAGTTCCAAAAGGGCTTCTAGAATTCTAAATTCACCGCAGATAAGTACATGAGCATATTACAAAGAATATAAAAACCTACTTCATTTCTGTTTAATAAATACTAAACCCTGATATATAACTTGTTTTTATCACGCTCAAATGTCAAATTACTATGGAGTTTGACAGAGAGACGGGATAATATAACGTGATATAACGTAAATTAAGGTGATCATGCTATGGGGACTGTAATTGATTGACCATTTTGATGAATAATCTTATAGCAGGACCTTTAAGAACAAAGACAAAATCAATTTTTATGAAAATCTTGCGGGCTAATAAGCCAGTACACTATAGACTTTGAATTTATAGTTATTTAAATGAAAAAAGGTGGAAGGAAGTCACTTAAAGTTCAAGCCTACTACAATATATCAAAAACCTAATCGTCAATATAGCTGAAACGGCAGAAAAGTTGCCAGATGGCGCTGTCGTCACGTAAACATCGACGTCGTATTTAAAATTGATTTATAAATATAAAAAGTGAATTGTTCTGCTTAGCGAGTAAATCATACTGATATATTTCATGTGTGAAATATGTGGAAATGTAGGCCAGTGGAAATACCACCATACAGTGAAAATAAACAATAAATTAAAATTATCATCAGTGACCCATAAAAACAGTGTAAAAAGCTTATTTCAAGTATATTAAACAGAAGAATAATAATAAATGATAACAGTGTTAGTGACAAAATTAAAGATTTAGTGAAAATACGTTTTAAATTTTTTTTGATGAATCATAAAATAACGAACTTTAAAAATTCAAATCTCTGTGCCTAGTATATTCGGAAATTTCGCTGTTACAAATATCCGCTGCGTGGCCGCAAGGTTTAAGCAGCGCGGCAGCGGCTTTGCAAACTCCGCGGGTCGCCAGTTCAAATCAAGTTGAACGACTGTCTATTAATTGATGTTTCCATTTTTGTCTGCACCACCAACGATATAATGATTGAGCACCACGTATAAGTTCTTCATTTAAATTACATCCATAAATTACATTATTACTGTTTGTGTTTTACTCACAAAAAATCACAATAAACGCCATCTGTTTCTTCTTCCATACCAAACAGCTACTCGAACCTTCAGTGTTTGCTTCACTCTTAACAATCAATAAACAAGTTTCTTAAAAATTTCGCAAGATGGCAAGCTCCGATAAAATATGTGCAGGATGTTGTCAGAAAATACCTGATAGATACTACTTATCATGTTGTTTATGCACACAAAGTTATGATATTCAATGTGCAAATGTACCTTTGGTAAGATTTATAAATACAATGACGCCGGATCACAAATTGTCTTGGAAATGTCCCTTATGTTGCTCAAAAGTTGCAAAGACAAATAACTCAAACACCCCTGTTCGGCAAAATTACGATGAAATAAATTGCGATCTGAATTTAAATAGAAAAAGCCAACGAAGACGCCAAGCGATATCGCCAGTAGCCGACGATTCAAATACTTCCCTTGAAGGGGATACCTTTTTAGAACACCCAACGCAAAATACTCCAATAAACAGCATTTCCTCATCAAACTTGGCAACTCTAGAGCAAATAAATATATCTATACAAGAAAATCTACAGCAAAATAATAAATCTATCTTACAAGCAATACAAAATACTATTCAGAGGGAAATTGAATCAGCTATAAAAAACCTAAGACAAGACTTTATACAAAACTTTGAATACTTGAAATGCAGACAGACTAAAACCGAAGAAAATATTTTAACCCTTGAACAAAAAATCAAAAGCCTGCAAAATGAATGTTCAAAATTGCAAAAAAATTATAATGAATTTCAAGAAAAGTTACATAGTTCAAAATCCCTAGATACCACGACTGACATGAAATTCGAAAAATATATTGTCTTGCATGGATTATCTTCTGAATATCGCGAAACGGAGGATGATTTAGTAGATCGAATTTCATACATTTTTAAAGATGTACTAAATATACATTTACCCCCATACATCGAAGAAGTAAATTTCATAGGGCATAGAGGAAAGAATATTAGACCAATAAGGATAGAATTATCAAATAAAAGACTAAGGAAATATATATTACGTAATGCAGCATACTTTAGAGAGTTTGGTTTGGGCATTTCCGAATACCTAAGTGAGTCGGATCTAAAACAAAAGCGCGAACTGAAACAGGCTCTTATGGAGATCCGGAAAAAGGGTCAAAATGCTGTCATAAGGAAAGGAAAGCTAATAGTAGATGGAAAAGAGTTTACTGGACCCGGACTTAACCATATCATCAGCGAAGTAAATGGAAATAATACAAATCCTACCAGGCTTAACAAAAACCAGTCCTTTCGATAAAAACATAAATGTTTTCTACCAAAATATGCAAAGCGTAAATAACAAAGTACACCTACTAGAAGATTTTATTGAACGAAACCGTAACCTGCATATTATTTGCCTAACAGAAACATGGTTAAACAAAGAAAAACTTGAACTCTTTAATTTAACTGGATATCGGATAGCATCGAGCTTTTGTCGGAAAAGTAGAAAGAAAACCGAAGGGGGAGGCGTGTGCATACTGGTAAAGGAGAACCTAGAGACTAAAGAAAGAAAAGATATAGAAAAAATTTCTCAAGAAAACATCTTCGAAATATCTGCAGTTGAATTAACTAGACAAAACGTAGTTATAATTAATTTATACTGGCCAAATAGTAATAAGAATAGAGATGTATTTTATGA